TCTTCTTTCTTTTGACTTGATCTGGTGTAATGGTGGAGCTTTGTGTGAGGTTTTTGAAAACACTTTGGTTTTTGGCCCAAATTTTGCTTAATTGTCTGTAAATTGACTTGATTGTCTGGATAATGTGTTAATACTGTTGTAATAAAGTTTTTTTCGAAATCTAAAAATCTCTCTCCCTCTCTCTCTCTTTCTCTCTCTCTCTCTCTCTCTCTCTCTCCCTCTCTCTCTCTCTCTCTCATATATACTGACAGTACATACATACTTACATATACATATAGGAAAGCACAAACAGGGAGAATACACAGAAACAAGCACAACAACTTAACACCAACAATAGAAAAAACATATGTATCCCTATGGACGTATATATATATATATATTTGGGGTATATTTGTAGCAATAGCCAACAAAACATTGTATGGGTCAAAATTATCGATTTTTCTTTTATGCCAAAAATCATTAGGATATTAAGTAAAGATCATGTTCCATGAAGATATTTTGTAAATTTGCTACTGCAAATATATTCAAACTTAATTTTTGATTAGTAATATGCATTGCTAAGAACTTCATTTGGACAACTTTAAACGCTATTTTCTCAATATTTAGATTTTTTATATTGTCCGATCCTAACAAACGTACATCAATGGAAAGCTTATTTATTCAGCTTTCAGATTAAGTTTAAATCTCAATTTTAAAAAATTGACCCTTATGACGGTTTTGTGGTCCAGGGTCACATATATATAATATTTCATTTTTAATATACCTGAGTCTATATGTCTGCATGGGATCATGTGTCTTTCAAAACCTTGTGCTGCTGTGTCAGATGCACAAAATTTGCTCTGTCACCCTGAAGCTTGCCATATCATCTCATCATCCAGCCCTCCCTCCCTCAATCCATCTGCCCATCCTTGCTTTTCCCTGTTATTCTCGGCTTCATGCAGTCATTCTGGTTACCCTGCAGTTACAGAAGGCTACCCTATTTTCACCTACTGATATTGAGAAGTAATTTAAACAGTGCAATAGCAGGAAACCAGGAACAGACACACACATATGCTGAGACCACAGTCTTAGTTTGCAAAAGAAACACATTGCTTTTACATCAACTCTTGCTAAAATATTACGTCACTGGTTTGATATTGCTTTTATACAACAGTTCCATTATCCAAAATGTTTGGTAACTTACATTTTAGATGCAATATTGCCAGTTACTTTGTCTATCTGTGTTCCACCAACGACACTAGTTTGGAAAGAAGCCGAGGAAGCTGTTTCTCAAGGAATCAGTCGAATGAATGATTCAATGACTCACTCATGATGGCAGTGGTTTGTTCTTTCTTGAATGAATCAGTGTATTTGAATGAGTCTGTTGAGTAAATCAGAGGCGTGTTTAGAGTTTTGGGGGCCATAAGCATGCGGGGTGGGGCGGGGGGGGGGTAGGGTTAAATAATGTATCTTGTCTTTGCTTGTTAGACCTGTGGATGTCAAAGGAGATAATTCTGGTTGTTTAGACCTTCGGATATTTGACCAAAAAAAGAAAAAGAAAAATCCTGCACGGTAGCTCTTTAATAGTGTTTTGATGAAATTAATTAGTGAATGAGCTGAAACTAGTGACAGGAATTGGATTTTATAGTCTAAAATGAATACAGATATGTTTTGATAGTGTTCCTTTAGATATCCTTGGCTCATTCCAGGCCTAATCCTGAAAGTTTTGTATCTATATGTATGTTTATGAAGGATTATGAAGTTATAATATAATATGCATCATTTGCCAGTCCAAAATATCCCTATCTAAAGCACCCCATCGTAGGTGGCTGCTTCTTGCTGTAATCTCCACCGTAGTTCAGATTCTATTAAAAATGTATGGGATGCACTGAGATGGATTGCTTTGAAGCATGTCTTGGATGTTGGATCAAAAGAACCCTGGAACACTTTTTGGATTGTCTTGATGAACAATGTTTTTTTCCGGAAGCTAATCGCATCGCTGATGCTTTTCTTTTCAGTCAAAAAAACTGAAAAGAAAAGTGTAAAAATCCAACTTTACACTTTGTTTTCTTGTTGTTTAGCAGCAGGTTGATGCAGAAGATTTCTGGAAAGCCATGACATCACGGCCTGTGGCCAGAAGAAAATGCCATCACTGATGTTCTTATATAAAAGCAAGAGAAACAAGAGACAATTATAGAATGATTGGATCAAATGAAATGATCATACACACCAATCTCACGTGTGAAACCTGTAAAAAAAAAAAAAATACAATTTCCAAGCTGTCAGACAAACACCACAATCTTAAGAGGTGTGTGAGAATGAGGTCTGTATGTGTGAGGAAAATGTGTCTGTTTCAGTCAAGCAAAAAAAAAAAAAACGAGAGCAAGACAAAGAGAGAAAGCGTCTAGCCATAAAATGTCAGTGGGGAGGAGGGTCAAAAACAAGGGGACAGGGATAATACACAAGAAGAGCAGAGAGAGAGAGAGAGAGAGAAAAGGAGAGGGATGGAGAGAAAAAGCGACAGGACCAGTAGCAGAGTGTGTGTGCTTTCTAAGCAACATCAGACGTCAGTACTGTGGCTTTCTGACTCTGAGTCTGTTCGGATTATGTCAGTCCTTCACATCAAGAATCAGTTGTAGAGTTGCTCACTCTCAAAGCGGACTGACCACCATTCGCCTACTCATCCTCCAGCACCGAGCACCAGAGCTCAAGCTCTCTGAATTTGGATATATACCTCTTTTATGTCTTTCAGTATCTCTCTGTCGTTCTGTTTGTGCGTGTGAGTTTTGCCATATACTTTGGATTCTGCCTGGACTCCATGTGAGTAGTCAAGCACACACGCTTCCCTGGAAGGTAAGTTCTGTCTGGGGTTTGTGATTGAGTGGAAATATAGGATCGTCTAAACTAGGCATCACCGAGCTGGGTTCACTGTTATGCTGTGGGTGACTGTTATGGGTGAGCTTTTTGAATGTTCTTTAAAGGAATATTTGACGGTTTTGTGATGAATGTGTTTTTGAATGCAAATATCTTATTGAATGTAAATATATTTTATCTTCTGTTTTTTATGTTGTTTGGTCTTATTGGCAGACAGAAAAAAGTCAATTCATTTAAACTTTGCTGTACATTAGTAAGGCCTAGTTTGAGGTGTTCTGTGAATTAAACTGGTTTCTGTTATAAAATAAAATAATTTTATAAATACTATTTTTAAAAAATAAAATAAGAAAATAATTATGTTCGATAGTATTCCAGTCTATTGTGGTACACATTGTTGGCTCCTTTATGATAAATTCAAAAATTGCTTGCATTTTTCCTAATTTGTACATCACTTTGCTACATGAATATATAAATGTAATGTAAATGTAGACCAACCAGAGAAAAGGTGTCTTTCAAAGGCACATCATTTAAGAAAGAATATGGCTTATATACTCTCTCAGAAATAAAGGTGCAAAAGCTGTCAGAGGGACAGTACCTTTTCAAAAGGTACAAATATACCATTTAGGTATATGTACCTTTAAGGTACTTATGTGCATCCTTCAGGGGTAAATAAGGAGTGTGCTTTTTAAAAAGGTACTGCTCCAGTGGCAGCTTTTGAACCTTTTTTTTTCGGCGAGTGTAGAAGTGTGGTTTGCCTTTTTGTGGAGAAGACCACATCACCACATTTGTGCGGTAGTGGTCAGTGTTGCAAAACTAAAAACGTATGTTGCTCTTTTCAGCTCAAAAAAAAAGGATAGGAAATATCAGGAGAGGCTAAGCGAGGAGAGGTGAGGAGCATTAACAGTTATTAATAAAATGTTGGCAATTGTAGCACTCTGGCTCTGAGTTAATAAATGACATGGCAGCAGGAGACGTGCATTTTTACAGAAATGGAATCTAGAAGTGTTTTTAGGGTTTAAAAGCAGTCGGCAGGTTAATTCAAAATGCGCTGTCTGCTTTAATACATCAAGGACCCTAGCCAGAGACAAAGAAAATGTATATGGTGAAAATGATGAGACAAAAATGGTTGAAATCAAAATCCAGCTGGGCTTTTAGTTTTGCTAGGTCAAATGGATCCAAACCAAAATGGCCTGTTGTCTGGGGCTTTGCACCAGAGAACTGAGCAAAAACAGATTAGGGAGAAAATGAGGAAGACAATTCACATTTTGAACATTTTCTTCTCACTCTAAAAACGACTTTAAAAAGGTTCTTCATTGGCATCTATGGTTCCATGAACAACCTTTAACATCCACAGAATCATTCAATTGCACAAAAGGTTCTTTACTGAAACACTGAACTCTGAATTTTTTTAACAATAAAAATAACAACAACAACAACTACTACTACATTATGATTATATTAGCCACAGAGAATTAGCGGATTACAACCAAATCAAATTTAGTTTATAATAGTATAATAAAGTAGTTGTATAAATTGTTTATACATTGTACAAAGTAGTACAATTATCATGTGTCACAGATAGAGTGATATAAAAGTCACCCGCTGAAAGACAAAAAGAATATAAAAAATGCAATTGTTCATAGAGCCCAAATCAACAAGATTACCAGCCTGGTCAATTAGACTGTCTCACTGACTATGCACAGTATGAATGAACACACAACTGACCTGTCAGACTGTTCAACCAGAACTAAAAAACACGCTGATTAATACTGGCAATTCGCCTGCTACAATGAAAGGTCTAAATTCAGCCAAATGTTAATTGATTGAAGTGTTGAACACTTGACAGATCTGTCAGAATTAGAAGAACGACAAGTACGTTAAGAAGAGACTGACAGAGAGGAGGAAATAGAAAAATGAATCGCAACCACCTCATCAGAACGAGGTGTCATTTTTTCAACTTTTCCTGAAAAAACATGAATTAGAATATGAAACAATCTCAGAGGAACTTTTAGGTGCAACTCAGACCTATTCAAAGCCTGAGTAGAACAAAAAATTTTTTTTTTTTACTAAAGACATGGACTTTCTGGTAAATATCTCCTTTTGTGTTCCACACAAGAAAAAAAGTCATACGAGATCACAATCTAAAGCCAATGCGTCTGAGAACAGAAATGTGTTGGGAGTTCTGTTTGGAACTGTATCTGACACATTCTATTTCTTCCCCACAGATGGGCAATGTGTCAAAAACAGCCCTGTTCGTATCCACAATCTCCAGACAGCACGACATCCTCATGGGATCACTTTATTCATTGTTCTGTGAGTCCACAACCACCGTAACATTCTGATCTTCTACATTTTCAAATGTGGTTTCATCAGAGCAGGACAACACTCAACACCCCAATGACTTTGAATACCTATTCTTTATGAATAATTCAGAGGAGAAATGGTTCACCTGCCATTAACCTCCTTCTGCTTCTCACCCTGCCTGTGTCCACCTTGGCCAAATTGTCCTGAGGATCAAGGTCAAGGTCAACTTTATTATCCCCAAGAGGGCAATTTGTTTCACAGCCAGCAGTAAACCATACAATCAACAAAACAAACACCCACCACCACAACACACAGACAAAAACAAAGACTTCCATAAAAGACTTTATAATATACATAAAGTTATTTGTAATTTAAAAGACCAATAGCAGCTGGTATGAAAGAATTTTTAAATCTGTTAGTCCTACATAAAGGATGATCAAATATATTCTAAAATCTATTTTCCTGAGATGGCCACGTATATAATTACTTTGGGAAGGAGAATGGGGTGGCCATGGATGTGTGCAATAGTTCTGGTCTGCTTGATATTAATGTTTCTTTAGAAGTGAGAACTTTAATTATACCTCCGATGCGGATGACAAATTGCTTGCATTATTGAAGCTCATGGGTTGATCCAACTTCAGTCTGTTAAAAGGAATAAGCATTGTTATTCTAGACTACTTCACCATACCTAGCAGGGTTTGCTTAGCATTTCTAAGCTCTATGATCAAATGGTGTTCATGTGACAGGTTTGTCAGCAATGGGATGGAGATGTCACACTGTCAGGGGCACATTTTCAATGCAGCTTTACAAAATTCAGTAGCTACTTTGATGAAAAGATGAATAGGTGAGAGAGTGGATGGATAGATCTCTTTTTCTCACCCAGGTGTCTTGTCACTCCTGGGAAATGGCATGCTGTTGTTTGTAGCCTACCGTAAGAGGTCATCTCTGAAGCCAGCAGAGTTTTTCGTCGTGAACCTGTCTGTGAGTGATCTAGGGATGACCCTGTTTCTGTTTCCTCTGGCCATCCCTTCTGCTCTAGCACACAGGTGAGATCCTGCTTCACAGTTTTTTTTACTCTAATAGAGACGACAAAAAAAAAAAGAAGTTATATATGCACCCTCTGCCCCTCTTTCACATTGTAGCGTTCTGTCTGATTCATTTTAGTGAATCGGTTTTTATACAAGGTTCAAAAATAAATTCAAATGCACTGTTAAAATATATGATTCACTGACTCGTTTGAACACTTGCGACTTTTAAAACGGAAATATAGTTAAATGCTGCTATTTAACACTTATGAACATGTGTTTTATAATTTTGTGTTTTCTATGTTTATTAGTTACATCTTAAAGTTCAATCTTATGGTATTGTTTATGTTTTTGGTACCAGATAAATGCTGCAATTGCAGAATTATAGCTATAGCTTGGCAAGTTACAGTTTCAAAGTTTCACCCTTTGCAAATGCCTTATAATGTTTGATGTATTTTTTCAGTAAAGTATCATGGTTCTAACGTAAAAACAAAGAAAAGGAGTATTTCAGAGTTCAAGCAAAAACAGTAAAATGATCTCTCTCTTTTCTCTGTAGGTGGTTGTTTGGGGAGGTAGCATGTCTGTGCTATGCTGTGTGCGGGGTTTTATTTGGCACTTCTAGCCTAACAAACCTGACTGCTTTGTCGTCAGTATGCTGCCTCAAAGTCTGCGTCCCAAATTACGGTATAATGATCTTTTGTCTCCCTTTAACCAAACTATTATTTTATAAACCATTATGAAATGATATTGTGCTTTTCTTAGCAATATTTTAAATATAAACATGGTATAATGATGAGGTGAGTCTCTGTCTCTTGGTAAAATGCCACCTGTTAAATAACATGAAGAAGCGTTGTGATTTTGTTACTCATACTTTTGTTTTTGTGAAGCAAAACGGTAAAACAGATGTCAGTGATATTTATCTTTAATTATATGTCTTTAATTTGACTGCACTTCAAACAATGTTGCATCTCTGAATAAAGTTATTGGCCCACTCCTGAGTGGCCCATTCTGTTTCATTTACTTGTCAAAGGCAATTTTTACTCAGATTAGGTGTTTGGTGATTGGTCATTTTGGTTCCTGCATCTGAATCCTGGATAGACCTTGTCATAGTAAATCACCATTTCTAGGCCCCGTCTAGATTAAAATATTAACAGTTAACATGATCAGTTAACATGCCCAAAATGATACTGTTCTCCTGAATGTGATTTTTTTTTTATCAAGTCTAATCTCAAACAGCGGAATCAGGTCTGAGTGTTTTGGACTGTTAGCGCCGTGTTCTGTCTGAAGATTCGGAAAACTGTCACAATCGGTTCACTGTGAAATAAAAAGGCCGTCTGGCTTAAATACGCAAGAATAGGAGGTTAAAACAAATGGAAAGAGACACAAAAATGAAGAAAGATGCAAAAAGATAAGAGAAGACAAGTGGAACAAAACAGAACATGTAGGGAAAATTAGACAAAACAGGAGAGAAAGAGTGATGAAACAAATTAAGCAAGGCCCCGTCTAGATTAAAATATGAACAGTTAACATGATCAGTTAACATGCCCAAAATGATACTGTTCTCCTGAATGTGATTTTTTTTTAATCAAGTCTAATCTCAAACAGCGGAATCAGGTCTGAGTGTTTTGGACTGTTAGCGCCGTGTTCTGTCTGAAGATTCGGAAAACTGTCACAATCGGTTCACTGTGAAATAAAAAGGCCGTCTGGCTTAAATACGCAAGAATAGGAGGTTAAAACAAATGGAAAGAGACACAAAAATGAAGAAAGATGCAAAAAGATAAGAGAAGACAAGTGGAACAAAACAGAACATGTAGGGAAAATTAGACAAAACAGGAGAGAAAGAGTGATGAAACAAATTAAGCAAAGAAAGAAAGAAGAAGAGCATATAATGAGCGCACATTTAGGGCTTGCTGTAGCCTGAAACAGCAGGTCATTTCTTCCTTCTGTCTCTGTGGGATATGAAATTTAAATAATTCCAACACTGACCTGTGTCAGGGGAATCATAGAGCCGGACCAGTTAGTCACTTTGATCAGTCACACCATTTTTCATCAAAATATTTATTCATGCAGTCCTCGTTTCCACAGGTAACAAATTCTCATCCAGCCACGCTTGTGTGATGGTGGTTGGAGTTTGGTGTTACGCGTCTGTCTTTGCTGTGGGACCTTTGGCCCACTGGGGGAGTTTTGGGCCAGAACCGTACGGAACCGCTTGTTGCATAAACTGGTATGACCACAAACATTTTAGCATTAATATGTGAAATGTACGCAAACAGATTCTGCATTCATGCTTTTTCATCATTGTATGTTCCAAGGTACACTCCATCCCATGATGCCCTTGCCATGTCTTACATCATCAGTCTCTTTATCTTTTGTTACATTGTCCCCTGTACCATCATCATCCTCTCTTACACCTTCATCCTGCTCACAGTGAGGGGGTCTCGGCAAGCCATTCAACAGCACGTCTCACCACAAACCAAAGTGGCCAACGCACACACACTTATTGTCAAGGTAAGCTTTATGGGTTCATTGTTGTTGTTTTTTGTGTTTACAGTGACCTTTATATTGCAAAAAAGCTGTTAGTTTTAATACAAATCAACCCATGGGACATAAAAGTGTACAAAAGCACATGTGGTGTCCACACTTTCACACTGTGCAAATATAACATTTTATTGCCCTGTGGAGCAGACAGCACGAACGTGATACTATTGCTGAGTATGTACTTAACGTCCCTCAAAAAGTAATGCTGATTACCCATCCTCTGTCCTCTGAACAAGGGCTGGCTGTACCAGCCTTATTTTTAAAAAACTGTGTCATGAAGCCCTGGTATACTGTATCCATGTGTAACTTTGCTGTTGGCAGTGAGTGCTGCACTGTTGAATATACTGGTGCTGAATGTTGATTATTGAGGCACACAAATGTCCCCTCAGAACATATGTGTACATTGCATACATTTACACACATTTGGCGATCTGGGTCATTAACAGACACATAAAATAAGCAGTAATGCTGATAATAAATGAATATGGCAGCTTGTTCTGTTCATATTACATAGAACATACAGTTCAGAGGTTTGGCAGAATATTTTCAGAATTTTGTTTTCAGGATTCTTTCATGAATAGAACTTTCAAAGGATCAGCATTTATTTAAACAGAAACCTTTTGTAACCTTATAAATGTAACATTATAAATGTATAACTGTTCATGACACTAAATGTCTTCACTGCAAAAAAAAATTGATTTTCAAATAAATGTATCTTGTTTACAGAATGTTAAGATATTTGTACTGGAAAAGACAAAAATACTGATTAAGAAAATCATTTTTAGCAGAGCTTACTGTCACTTTTGATCAATTGAATGCATTCTTCCTGAAGTAGTGTGTGTGGGAGAGAGAATATGGGTTACAGAGGTCAAAATATGATCTTAAAACATTTAAAAACAAATCATTCTATCTAATTGCATGTCGACTAAGTACAGCATATGTGGTGTGTTTTCTTTCTAGCTCTCAGTGGCTGTATGTATTGGCTTCCTTATGGCTTGGAGCACGTATGCCATTGTTGCCATGTGGGCTGCTTTCAGCACCAATGAGCAGATCCCACCCACCGCCTTTGCACTGGCAGCCATCCTGGCCAAATCTTCCACCATTTACAACCCTATGGTTTATCTTCTCTTCAGACCCAACTTTCGCAAATCACTAAGTAAGGATACTCAAACTATTCGCCACAGGATTTGTTTGAGCCACAGTAAAGCCAGTCCCACACCAGGAATAAAGGACCGGCAGGTGAAGAACTTTCAGCAGTGCAACAATAAGGATGCCAGCACCTCCACACCCTTTTCCAGTGGGCAGGCAGAGAGTTATGGGGCATGCCATGTCTATGCAGAAGCGGGGCCAAGTTTTCAGCAAATGAGTCCCCAGAGAACTGCACGTATTCTAGAGGGCACAGTTCAGAGTGAAATACCAGTGAGACAACTGACTGACAGAATGCAAAACGACCTCCTGTGAGAGATACTCAAGAAAGAAAGAATGCATAAAATGTAAGGAAGGAGGGGATGATGTAACGTGTAAAAATCGCAGATGTCCTTAGATGCCCAAACACAAGGACAAAGAAAACTGAAAAGGAAGAAAATCTCACTGTTGTCTCAGAATTCTTACTGATCCTCAGAACTTCCTGCAGATTTCAGGAATGTTTCCTGCAATGTTTACTCAACCAAATTCACTTCTTTTTAAGATGTAGAAAGCATATTTCCATAATGGCAGTTCACACAGAATGTCATGCTTTAAAATTGTTTCCAATGTCAACATGAATTACATTACATGTGTTAACAGCCTTCATTGTTTGAACAAGCCTCGAAAACAAAATATGATGTGATTTAAATAAATGATGTGTAAGTCCAGTGAGATGTCGATTAAAAAAAAATCAAGTTCAACTGCAGAGACTATGTGTCAGTTTCATACATGGTTTACAATGAGATAAGCAAGGTACAGTTCACTTAATGAACAAAGACTGACATCTGCTGGCTGAACAGGAGGAGTATCACAGCTGAAAAGGTTCAGAAAAAAACTTTCTAGGTGGGTTTTCATTGCCAAAGCATTGATAAAATTACATATAGCCAGTATTTATCAGTGTCACTGTAATAGTAACACAAACTAACAGTGTAATAGCAATGTCAACTACAAATTTTGTACAGTTTGATCCCAGCTGAACGGCGCCCACTCCTATCGCACATGGATTCATTAAAGGACAAAAGTACTTAATCTGAATGGAAATGGCAGTAAAATACCAGTGGTTGGTGAGGTTGATTGGATGCATATTTTAAAAAAATGGATGCATTTAAAAAAAAAAAAGAAAGTTCTGTACAGTGTAATGAGCAAATTCTACTTATATGGGTCACTACACCCTTAAAAACAAAGAGAGGCGGAAAAACGAGATCAGGAAATAGCTCAGTGAAATAGCCTTGAGGCACCCCATATTCAAAGAAAGCACACAGAAAGAGACAGACTTTTCCCTCAGATAAACAGGATCAAACAGGTCTCTTCATGGAAAGCAAAACAATCCAAATTCTGACTTAAACTACAGTTAGATATTTGACTAGGAGATGTGTTATGTAAAAAATAACTATTCATTTACCCAGGCTAAACTACACTCTTCAGTGGCATCTGTTAACTCTATTGTTCAATAAACTCTCTCCTCAGGCCTTGACTGAGAGATATACAGTTCAATAGATACAATCACACTATAGCGCTTTACAGCACTGCGCTGTGCTCAATCCAACACTCAGTGAACTTTTGCTTGAAGGGTTGTGAGAGTCGATATCTAAAATAGAGGCATTTAAAGCCAACCCGAGAGGGTTTTCAGGGCATTTCTTTTGTGTTTATGAGTTCTGGAAACTGTTTAAAATTATAAATATATATATATATATATATATATATATATATATATATATATAAAATATCCAAAATACTAATCATTGATTTATGTGTAATCCCTTTTAATGGTAAAAAATGCTAGATGCATGAATAAAATTATGCTGCATGTCCTGTTCATCTGCTTAGGCGTTGTCTTGTTTAGCTTGTTTACATTGTAGTTGTTGCTGACTTTCTGTGTGTTCATTCATCTGAGTTTCTGTCTTTCTGTAAATTAAGAAAGGTAAGGACGGACTCTGAAGGATCTATACAAATAATCCATTTCAAAATGATTTACAACATGACTGAATCTTCTAGCACAAATAAATTGACTTGGACAAACTAAATGTTTATTAAGGTACATCATGAGACCTAATCAGTTCTGCCTAATTATGTGTCACTGCATTTGTGTCCAAGGTTAAGATTCTCTTATACCCTTTACCTTCCCTGTCTATATATTTCAGTCAATTCATGGCTAATTTGAGAACAGACTCCTGGGTGGGACAACATACAGCTCTCTGAGCCAAATCAAAAGAAACTAGATTCAGATATACAGTGATCTCACCTTCCCTTGAATGTTTCTTGACTGCCCTCTCTTTCTCATTGCCTTACCTGACACTGAACAGATGCACTCATGGTCCACCCAGCATCTGTCCTTGACTTCCCTTACAAAAAAGAAGTTTATTCAAGTGTGCTATTAGTATACTTCTTTTAAACTAAAAATAGGAAAGTATACTTTTAGTCTACTTTTTATGTACTTCTCAGAAATTGGCTTTATGTACTTCTCAGAAATATACTTAAAATGACATTTAAGTATACTTGACTTATACTTAGAAAAAGTCTAAATATATTTTAGCTATAATTGTGCTCCTAGAATCCGTGTTTTCATTGTTATACTGTAGGGGGCGTATAACAATTAAAAATTCTAACACCCCTGGGCACAATGTCTTTTAAGGGCCCCCCACCCTTTTCTCTACTCTCCTCCTCTCCTCTAGTGAAATATTTAATTTTTTTAAATATTTCCTTCATTTTTGTTGAAAATAAATGTCATTTCTGATCTGATATGATGGGGGGAAAAAAGAGAAGAATGAGTTCAGCAAAAGGTGGATTTGAACTCCGGTCGATCGCGTCAAAACATTGAGCCATGCGCTTTACACCCTACGTGCATCTTTAGTAATGTTCTATGCCAACCAGACATTGGAGCTAGTGTAAATAGCCCCTCTGCCAACAAGGTTGGCTATTTGCATATAGTGTAATTTTTTCTTCCCCTCGCTTGGGCCGCAAGTGTGCATGGGCCCCTGGGCCCGTGTCCATAATGCTCATTGGATAATCCAGCCCTATCTATAACTGTAGATGCATTCTGTTGTTCGGGTGTTTTGAAACTCAGACAGCTGTCAGACCAGATCTGTTCATACCTGACTATTGTTTCTGAATGATACAGTGAGTTTCATTAGAGAGCTGCTTATTTTCTCACTTTACTGGCAGCAGCCTGAATCAATCGACTCACTGGGCTCGTGCTCATTAATAATTCATAAAACAGCTGATCCTCGTTGTACTGTACTCACAGATCTGTCAGTGTATTCTCCTTTGGGACTAGTACTGCCATTATCCTCTTTGTGTGTATGTGCATGTATGCGTTTAACTCCAGGCCTGAACTAATGCCATCCACCACAGACTTGACTGCCAGGAGTTTTATAGCCAAACATCACACTGTGTCATTAATAGATTTTACAACCCCAGCTGCACCAGCTAATTCATTTTTAGCCTAATGTCTTTTAAATCTCGTTAACCCACTGCTGTAAATGGTGCCTAAACCTTGAAGTTGTTTTATTATAGACTCCAAATCTGAATTTCCTATTGCCTTCTAAGTGGGTGTGTCTGTGCGTGCTAATAAGGGGAAAACAAAGACCTGGCAGGAGATGTTAAAGGAGAGAGCATGAGCTGGAGGCTTTGAAGGAGTTTGAATAGAAAGAGCAACAGAACTGTAAAATTGGCTTGAGTTGGACAGTCTGTCTCAAATGCTGGAGAGCACCCAAACTCACTGAAGCTCACGGACACAAACACGGCTTCTCTCTGACCACTCATAACCATGTAAGAGCACACTGAATCAGGCTTGGGTACTGCGATTGAGCCAAAGACATCAGGAGATGTCACATAATTTGCTACTTTAGTCTGTTATAATGTTATGATATTTCATAACAATGCAAATGCATGTCTTTATATAGCAAAATGTCACCATGAAAGTCACCGTGAAATCAAAACGGACAATTCAACTTTTTTTTTTTTAATGATGCACCATGAATTGCAGTCTGATACATTTCAGAATGCATAGAGAAGTTTTGTTTGTTGTATGATTCAGGCAATATATTTAAAATATGTATATTTTGGCCAAGAGATTTGACATAATCTGCTATTTTAGATAAACATAATATTATAATATTTTATAACAATATATATTTATGCTGGATAATTGCCTATTTCCCTTTTTATTCAAAGTCCCCCTTTCTTTTTCTGCATGGTTTCCTGTTTAATTTCTCACACAAAGAAAATAGACTGCTATGAGTTTGGGCGTCTATCCAAGGACCAGATTCAAACAGTTCACATAGACTAGCATGATGCTCATTTGCAGCTAGCTCATACATAGCTGAGGGCTGTGCAATCTGCCTAATACACACATAAACACACACACACACACACACACACACACACACTTACACAATTCCTCAGCAGCTTAGATATACTGTGATATCTTGTTTTTCTAGGTCATAGTTTAAAAAAGACGTCACTTTCTAATGAGGCAACACTTTAGAGTCTCAGAAACTACACAACAGGGTGACAGAACGAGATGGATGATGGAAAGAGACATGGGGAGATTCCTTTGTGTGTTTTTGTGTTACTCTCTCCAGCTTGCTTATTTTGTGTGACCCAGATATATCCCACAAAAGTACAGAAAGCAAGAATGATTACAGTTCAATATTTCCTTCAGGCAAAAGGCTGTCCCAGAGAGTAGTAAGAGGAGGCCCTGGTGAATTATGGCTCTCATAATTGTATCTGAATCTTCTCTGGGGGAAAACGTGTTTATAAAGCAGCCATCGCAACCATGAGTAGCCTACTAGCCCTTTTAATGCAGACTGGGTTTTCACCATGCACACAACACAAAGGAAATATTTTCAGTGTGTGGTGGTATTACGGCATGCCAGATCACATTAGCTCCTCAGAGAGGTGTGATGAACAAAACACTCCTTTCTCTCAGTGGTGAAATCCTACGTTTCTTTCTGTCTTTGTCCATATAAGGAGAGAACACAGGTAGTGAGTGCAGCCCCTCCTCTATCACTATAGAGGGGATGTCTCAGATAGAGACAGAGTATGTGTGTATACGTCCGTGTGTGTGTGTGTGTGTGTGTGTGTGTGTGGCTTCCTGTTTCATGAATCAGCCTTTAGTCATTTAGCTGATGGCTTCAGATCTTATGCTGATATCTCACATACTAACACCTACTAAACTGGCAGCACATAGGCCTATATACCCACATGAACACAATTTCACGCTTTTGTGAAATAAACAAAATGTTATGTTTATCTTGTATACATGAATGTGTTTCTCACATCACTGATACCCAAACAGAATGTGCTAGGGGTTTTTCAGCACTAATTTTAAGGAAAGATCTGATGAATTATGTGGAATAGATTTAAACATAGTAAAATGTGGTATACAGCTCAAGCTATAGTAGTAGGCCTACGCCTATTGAAAACATAGTCAGATTAGCAAAAATATGAATAATTTCATATAAAAAATAATAAAAGAAACAATATGTGTACATGCAAGAGGTGATGAATGAGTACAATTTAGTGAATGACAAGTGTTTTGTGGAA